GGTGGCGCCATCTCTTGCAGGATGTGAGGCATTTTTAAAATTTCATAAAAATTTCGTTGCCACATGCTCTATTCAAATACTATAATAAATCTAAAACGATATATAAAAGAAATTAAGCAAAGAACAACAACAGCAACAAAAAAGAAACAGTTTTTCACAGCCATTTCAGTATTTCTCATTCAATTAATTCAGTTATCACTTCGCGACAAGGCAAAAATACATAAAAACTCAAAATGTCTGTATTGAAAATTATAATGTAAATCCTTAAAGGCTTATATTTGCTCGAAAAATTCCAGAATGGATTAAGCATGATTTAATTCGCTATAATAGAAGAAAGCGTTATCCTTGTTCTTGCGAAGCTTATTTTCTCTAGATTGGCAACAAATCTACTGTTCTGTTGTTTCAAATGTAAACAAGCAATGGAAAAAGTAAAATATTTGATTTCTCTGTGACTAATTAATAAACAAAGGGATTTAAAAGCAATAAACACAGTAGGACACATTGGACCTATGAAATTACTCTAACTCTTTTTAATCATAATGTGTTGTTTTTTAAAATAACTATTTTAGAGGCTGGCCAAGCAAATGGCTAGTTTGATATAAAATTGGATCTTTTCCAACACTACTTCTTTTTAGATAGATTCCACACATAAAATATTCTGTTCGATGCTGAAGAGACATGTCATTAAGTCAGCTTGTTTCAGTTAGTTTTCGTAATTTCATCTTGATTGAAATTGAATGTGTGTTATGTTTGAATTGTCCATAATAAAATAATACTCGGTCGGTAAATAGGACCTGTTTTCATTTCTGTCATCAATGATGAAATATAACTATGTTAAAATCGAAACTGTTATTCATTCCCCCCCCCCCCCCCCCCCCGATGACATAAAATTTTTGTGATTTTTCTCAATACAACGCCGAGAAAAATTAATTTAGCATTAAGTCTCAAGTTAATGCAATATATTTTTCCACAACATAGATAATTTTTAACATTTTCTCTTTGTTGCTGAACATTGTACCATTATTAAGAAATATTCTGTACCACATTTTCTTCATGTGCTGTTTGTACATGTACTTGCTCCGCAATATCCGTTAAGTGACCCCTGAAAGGGATTCATTTCAGAATCCCTGCTAGCTTTCGATTATCAGTTTTACACCTTAATGGAAAGTCTCTTCTCTATTCTTTCCTGCACTTAATGGCGGAAGATTTAGATGTGAGTGAAGGAAGTGTGTTTTGGGGATAGAAGAGAGCCTCGTTTCCGGTTCCGGTAGAGGGAAGATTTGCGATTATTCAGGACGTTTCAGCAAATCCAACATGAAAATCGCCCATGCTTTTATCTTCGCGCTTTGAGAAGTTCAACAAAAGCGTTGGTTCCTGCGTCTCATTTGTGTTCTGTTTTTAGTTTTTTTAAATATATTATTTACACATTTTTTGAAAGATTTCGATAAAGAATTCTTTTTAAAAATGTTTTGGAATAAAAATTTTTGCCAAAAGTTTATTATATGAAATGAGAAATATCGTCTGCTACTTCTAAATTTATTCTTCTTTGAAAAAGTCGCATGCAGACGGACTGTGGATTGAAGGATCTCTTTTTGCTCTCTCCAAAAAGAAGTATTCCTATTCCATAACTAAAAACATCGTGAAATATGTGGTATTAAAATTTTGTGCAAAATAATCAACATTATTAATCGGAAATAGAAAAACCGCCAATCATTACTTCTACATCAAAAGAAGTATTCAAGCGAATACCCGAAAAAAGGGTACAAACTGTTTCTAATGTTTCTAAAGTTAAATCGTTAGTAACGAAAAAAAAAAAAAAAAAAAAAATTGCTGACACAGAAATCAATCGCAGTCTTTAAATACGTCTGTAGCTACAATAAATAAAATAATAAACCAAGATTTACAATTTAAAAGGGCTAAAAAGCATAATTTTCACCAGCTTTTGCCTAAGCGTGTGGCTCAATGCAGAACCATTTGTATAACCCTGTATGATATCTATTTAGCAGTTCATAAATGGAAATACATTGTGAGCCTTGTTGAAGCATGGGTTTACAAAAATGACTTCAACAACAAAAGGTCTTTATTTTCGAAAGCGAAGAGGAAAAAACGTACAAACTTAGTTATGTCAATGTAAAAAAAGTTTCAGTCAAGGGTTTATGATTATCGTAAGATTCTCTTCTAGTTTCAAATTAAAAATTAGAAAAGCGGGCAAAAATGTAAAGAATCAATTCAACGTACTATCAAGAGAAAGTTTTTTCACCTGATATTTACAAAAGAAATTCCATTTCATCATTCCACTGACTTTCAAAAAGTGAATACCAATGACTTTCAAAGAGTGAAACTTCATTAAGACAAAGCAGCAAGTCATTCTTTGAAAAGTACCACTGCATTTCTTGAAAAAAAAAATGAAGACTAGGAGTATTGCATATATGCCTTTTCAACGTATTTTTGCAAAGTCCTTTAACTTTTAAACTAGGAACTATTGTACCTCTGGTGTAGAAAAGAACTCTTTCTGAGCACAAACTCACCACAATTTATGGACTCTGGAAAGCAGTGGGAGAGGGATAAAAAAATCAGTGCCCTTAGAAATTCTGTTTGAAATCACTTTGAAAAGAGTAATATCCAAAAGGTTAAAAAGAAGAAGACAGAAGAACTGTTAAAAGAAGAAAATCTCCCTATTTGCTCTTGGTTAGTTGGTAGAATTCATGATGTAACACCAGGGAAAAATAGGAAAATACGCGTTATATTAGTAAAAACACCTTGTGGGATTTTTAAACGCAACATTTCTAATATATGTTTATTACCTGTAAATAATATCTAAACTTAATACATAATTTTATTTTGAATGAATATTGTACATTGTATTTTAAATACTTTTTGCTATATTATCGTGTTATTTTGTTTGTTATCGTGTTATTTTTAAATGTTTCGTTGTATAACTTAAAAACTTTTTGATAGTTTGCTGAATCAATTTCATTGAAATCCAGAGTATTTTTAAGTCAGGCGGTGTTAACGCCACTCTGTAAAATAATAATAATGCAACTCGTGCGTCTTCAAACTGGAGGTATTTGTACTTGTTATGTGGTAACCTTTTATTGCTATGTTAATGTAATTTAAATAACTTAAATAGTTCGTTGTTCGTTCATTATACTCCATCGGAAGCAGAATTTGAAATTTGATTGTTTCTGTTTTAAAATTTATGTACAATCTACTATAAAACGTAGTTTCGTAAACTTAATTTACGTAGTTTCGTGGTTGTAGAATGTTTTCTTCCTTGTTCAACAATTGCATTGCTCGTAGATTTATCTTAAGTTTATTAAAAATTTTGTGGAGTTTAAGGCTGCTAATGTAGCATTGTAATTTCATTCATCTTACATGTACAGAAACGGAGAAGAAAGGCTTTTGTGACGATTTTTCTGAAGCATTAAATTTTCATTCCATCATTGTGAATCTCGTCTGCAGTGAAAATCTGTATTTTTGCATCACAGAGTAAATTGTATGATTTTTAAACAAAGCTCATATATAAAATATATTTTCTAATGTTATAATTATAAACTCAAGAAACCAGAATTTTAACCTTTTGTCATAAATAAAATTTGTGGTGTTGACATTTTGTTTTTAGTGAGAAAAATGTTATATCCAATATTCTTATTTTAAATGGTTAGCGTTTTCCCCCTTACATATGTATGTAATTTAGATTTTCTAATTAGAGCCGTACCTTTATAAATGGGGTTACGTTAAAAAAATTAAGGAATTCTTTTGTAAAAGGAATTTTAATTCATTCATTTTTATAAGAATGGCAGAGCAAGAATTTTCACTCCTTTCCTTTTACAATCTAATTCAATTTTTAGGCTTATTTGCTAGATGAGACAAATGGAGGACTAGGTATAATTTGTTACAAACCGTTAATTAAAAGATTTCTCATGCAGTAAGAAATGTATTTTTGAATGATAATCGATTGTTCCTTAGAAATTGGATTTTCTTTGGTGAAAACATCTTTGCACTAGACAGATTTAATTAAATTTCATTTTGCAATGTTACAATTACTTTGTCTGAGTGATGTAATGGGAATAATAAGGATAATTCGAATATATAAATTAAGAAAATCATTCAATTTCAGTGGAAATTGTTCGTAAGCTATAAATTATTATAATATTTCGTGGCTATAACCTCGCTTGATATGTTTCTATTTTATATATTACACAGATATTGCTTAAAACTTCACATAAATAAAGCGTCTTCAGAATTACGGGCTCGTAACAATGAAGCAATCTAAATTGTGATTAATGAAATTTTACAGTCTGACGAAATCGAGAATGAAGATGACGGTAATTTAGGAAAAATAGGTAATTTTAAATCAACAAGCCGCTGAAGCTGTGAATACGTTGAGACAGCGGCTGACGTTGAAAGTATGAATTATATTAATCCATTGGCCTATTCCATATCTGCCAATTGCGCGAGCTATAGTGAACAAGAATGTCGGTCGCACGCCGTGCCATTCAACTGTTCAGCCGTGTACCCGAACTGGCGCAAAATGTATACTTTTCATGACATATATAGGCCCACCAGCGGCCGAGCGGTAAAGTCGCTGAACACTGGTAGTTCAGTCCGAGGTTCGAATCCCGCGAACGGGCTGGCTGCATGGGCGTTTTCGTGGTTTTCCCCATGTGTAACGTGTATACGAGCTAGTTTCCCTTAGGAAGTCCTCCACGAAAGGCATCCCTCCCCCTAGACAGATAGCCCTAGTGTGCTTTGCCATAATTAAATACATACACATACATACATGACATATATATTTCAGTGTAACGAAAGGAATTGTGAAATAATAAATAATGTTTAGGTACAAATAGTAATTTTAAGACTCTAGGATGTAATCATAATCAATCGACAAAAACAATTTATTTTTTCAAAGTAGCTAATGAATCAATAACAATTTGTAAATAAAAACTTAGTTAATACTTTATATGAAATTATATTTGAAACGTGTGAAAGTAACGAACCTGTACGGGGAACTAAAGTAACAGATCATCCAGTTTCGTCAGAAAAAACTGAAAGAAAAAAAAAAAATACTAGCGTTACAATCAAAGGAAAAATATTCGATGTAGAATAACTCCAATCGCTTGTTCTAATAATAATACGCGACATTTTATGCACAAATTCCTCACCACGAGTCAGACTCGTGGCTTTTGTTTATGACACAAATTCTTTAACACGAGTCAGACACGTGGCTTTTGTTTATGACACAAATTCTTTACCACGAGTCAGACTCGTGGCTTTTGTTTATGACACAAATTCTTTACCACGAGTCAGACACGTGGCTTTTGTTTATGGCACAAATTCTTTACCCCGAGTTAGACTCGTGGTTTTAGGCCAAAGGGTTAAAACCGTATCGTTTACACGACCAGAAAATTAATTTTGCACAAATATATAAAGAGCACAGAACAATGTATCTGAATGGGTTTTACAAAATTTAACCCTTTCTATACCGGTGGAGAACAACTCCAGATTCGCACATGAAACTATTTGCCCAAAGGGAATGTCTTTGAGAAGTATTTTTCATAGAGCATCTGCCTCATATTTACGCTATTAAATAAAAAATAAAATCTGATGTTACACCACATGACTTCCTTGTACGGAATATTAAGTTACACGCATTTTTTCTTGCATTTCATTTAAATTTATTGAATTAAACCTACTTCGCCGAACAGCGCATAAACCACAATAGAATAAATGCATTCTTTAAAATTCACTTTGTTTACCATAGCGACACTCTTGAGCTAGGTTTACTTAACAGTATTATATTTCGTTCATATTATAACTCAGAATGCACAAAATTTATATCATTTAAAGAATTATCTAATCGTTGCCACATGTTCTATTCAAATACTATAATAAAGCTAGAACGATGTATAAAAGAAATTAAGCAAACAAAACAAAAAAGAAACAGTTTTTCACAGACGATTGAGTATTTCTCATTCAATTAATTCAGTTTTTACTTCGCGACAAGGCAAAAATACATAAAAACTCAAAATATCTGTATTAAAAATTACGAAGTAAATCTTAAACGCTTATTTCCTCGAAAAAATTCCAGAAAGGATTAAGCATGATTTAAATAATAAATGAAGGCGTTATCTTTTGTTGTTGCGAAGCTACGTTTCTCTAGATTGGCAACAAATCCGCTACTCAGCTGTTTCAAATGTAAACAAGATCAATGGCCGCCATCAAATTAGGCTTAGCGGCACTTTAAACAATTTTAAAATTGTTGATAATTCTAAAAATATTGCATACAGATTTACTAAAGGCATAAAAACCTTAACCGGAAGATTAAAAACAACATAATTTAATCATTTTTAAAGCAAAAAATGTACAATTTACAAACATATAAGAGTAAAGAAAACTGAGATCACTGAGCCGGGTAACAGAGTGGATATATATATTATTATACGTTTGGCGCGGCGATTGAAACCAAAATACGAGGTGCACATCTACATGTTAGTAGTCTTTATATACAAAATTTCAACGTTCTGAGGCTACTCGTTTTTGAGTTATGCGAGATACGTACGCACGTACGTACATACGTTCGTACAGACGCCACGAAAAATTCTCTTCAGAATTCATTTTAAAGCAGTTTTTTAGTTTTTTTGGAGGAAAAGAGTCTTTTATTCTGTTCTTACGTACAGATATCACGCAAAAACATCGTTAAATTGCATTCGAAAGCGGTCAAAGTGGATATTTTCGTTGAAATATGCTGCCTGAACCTTTTCGCGATTACAATACTTCCTTTTTACTTCGTACAAGGAATTAAAAATCACGAATGGCTGTAATGGGATTATTTTGTAGATTTGAAGTAGTTGGATTATCGGCATGCCAAAATTTTGAGTTGTTTATGCGAGAATACCGGCCTCAGTGGAAATCGTTAGAAAACATGTGCGTAAAGGGACTGTCCACAACTCTGGTTTATGTTCCCTCATTACGTTATCGATTAAAGTTGCTGAATAAAATCTGACGTAGTTGATGTTGACAAAATTGATCAAAGTTTGACGTATCGTACACCAGTTAGCGCGTCATTATAACACAGTGGCATCGCAAACAGCAAACAGTACACCCTTAGCTTCGAAAGGTTTCAGTTCATTTATGTATCCGATAGTTACCGTTCACAAATGGGCATCTGAATTTTTCGCCTGCATATGCTGGCCAGTTGAAAAGGGTTAAGTTAAAGAAACGAATAGAAAGTTTGGCATATAATGTCTACTTGTAGAAAAGGGTAGTTTCCGCCAGATTATCACTTGCCAGTCTGCATGGCGTAACTGAAAACGCGATTCATTGGACCACATAATTTGTTTCCAATTATTCTAAACACGATTATGTTCTAAACATGACCGGCGGTGACCACTACTGTCCAATCCTCGTGCTCCCGAGCGAATTTTCGAGTTTTTATTTGACAAACTGCAGACAGCAACGGTATTCGAACTGGGCCTCGGCTCATACGATGTGTTATACGGTAAACATTGCGTTCGGAGATCCTTTGAGACGATCCTTCGTAAAGGTCCACGTAAGTTGTTGCACTGTTACTGTGCTATTGTCTTTTACAAATCTGGGTACTCTTCGTTGCACACGGGCATGTGGTCGGGTGTCAGCACATGTCACCAGTCGATGAACAATGACAAGTTGCACTTTGAGACCCAGTGTTTTGCCTGACAATCCAGACGTTAAAAACTTTAACTACAGCTGCTCTTGAAAATTTTACCAAATGTAAGGGTTTCGCTGTTACTTTCTCCATGACTTCGATGCTTCCTTTATTATGTTCGGAAATAACTCACGTGTACTACTCTCTCAGGTTTGGATACTTGATATTTGTATTTAGGCTTCTTTCAGTGCGAAATAAACTTCCTTTTTTTATACTAGCCTAACCCTTTAGCGACAACAGTAGGATACCATAATTAATTTGCTGGAAACTGTCAAGTGGCCATAAGAAAATGGCCATTCAGTGTGGATGACACTAAAATGCATATTGCAAAGAAAACAAAAATTTTATTCGTTAATTGTGATTATTTTTGGGTCTTGCCTATATATTTTTAATTGCTTTTTTAAATTATGTTCTTCTCTCATTACTTTTCATTCGCTTTTTCTCAGAAGTAATTTTTATATTATTGAGTTTTCTAAAATAGAAACGAAGGCACAATTAATTAAAATTTTTGCTCAGAAATGATTCAAATTTTATTTTAAGTTGCTCGGAAAACGTTCCTTTCTGCTGGAATTTTCTACTTCTGAGTTTTTGATCCCTTCATTTAAACGAATTTGATAAACTCAGAGCTCTTAGTTTTGGGAATTTTTCTCAACTAATTTGTTCACATTCTTTTATTTACTGCATGTTCACTACCTACGAATACTTGGAAATTTGCGAAAGTTGATGAATTTTTGTTTAATTTTTTTCAAATTATCACTATTAATGTTTTGTAGTCTCATTTTCCTCAATTTTTAATTAATAAATCTCTCAATTTGAATATTATTCTGCCGTGTTCTTAATTAGAAGAGTCTTTTTGTAATGTCACGCGATATTGTTACCAAGAGATGATTTTTAATTTGAATTTCATTAGTCTGTAAGCAACATGTTGTTTGCTTGATAAGCTGTTTTTATTTTGTTGAATAATATTTGTGTGCTTTCATACGAGTAGTGTGTTTAAAATGGTAATCAAGTAATCAGAGCGTAGTTGATAAAAAATTATCTTGGGAATTTATTATTCTCATCATCATTAATTTCTAGAAGTGTTTTTTTTTCACCCTTCGAAGAAAATTCTGTTCGGAATAAACAGAAATTGCCAAATGTGTGCAGAATCAGTTTGTTGTCTAGTTGTTTCATACTCTCCTAGACTAAATCACTAGAAGCTTCTCTCTTCTTAAAATTCTAGTAATAATTTTTTTATAAAAATAGCATTAAGATGAAGGAAATTTATTCTGACAATTAATTAATATCATTTTATTATCACAGTTTTTTCAATTTGTCGTTTCCTCCATGCCGTATCTTGTCTCTTTAAGAAACGAAAAAATAGTTAAATGTCTTCTTTTCATTGTTACATTTTCCCCTGCCCTTAATATATGCTGTCTGCTGTATTCTTTAAAATAAGGAAGGAATTATTTTTAATACCGTTTGCTATTAAAAGTATTTTTTTCTTTCCTCCTTATTCATTTTCTTTTCAAATTATTTCTTTTTACCATTCTACAGAACATTCTCTCGTTAAAAGCAATGATAATAGCATTGCTGTAATCCAGTTTGCTCGTTTTATTATAAGCACTATGCATATAACACTATATGTATGTAATTGTTTTATTATATACATAGTGTTTTATTGTAATTGGAGAATTGGAATTTTGCCATCGGCTTTTAATCTACTTCCTAACAAGCTATCGAGTTCGAATTTTGTATATACACTGTTGGTCGATGACAATGCAATGCGATGAAGCGATTTTGTTTTTCAAATTTATGTTTAGATTTTTTTATTTGACGTTAAAATGATTTTTCGCACATATCAACGTGTAACAAACAAACTGAACATTTCAGAATTTTACTGTTTGCGCCATCGAATACAGCAGAAAAAAAATCTAAACCTTTTCAGTAAAAGTAGTATAAAAATTTATTTCTGTATTTTTGCCGAATTTTTGAAAATCGATTTTTTCGGACTGTTTAACGTTTACGGTTTTAAAATTTAATATCTAAAAATGTATCGGATATACAGTTTCGAAATTCACAGAACGTTAGCTTTGCGCTAACATTTCGCTCTCTTTTTAAAACAAGTATGATAAAATGAATTAATTGAGCGATTTCTACTTTTTTAAAAAAATACGTTGCAGTCTGAAGCAGACGGGAGGAAAAGAGTTTCTCTGGGAAAAATTGCTTTTGAGTTTGCCGTCTTGGAGCATCTTTTTTTTTTTTTTTTTTTTTTTTTCCATTTTAGCTTAAAATAAAATGATTCCTATAAAACTGTTATTACATCTAATTTCCAAAACTGAATATTCAAAGCTATTTCTACATTCTTTGAAATAGGTTCAG